ATCTTCTCTATTGAATATTTGCAATTTTAAGGGATGTGGTGCAATAATCTGGTCGCTCGCTCGCCACTTTATTGTTACTTTAATTCCATGTAGCTTTCACACACACAGTTCTGCACAGGGAATTCAAACTAAACTCTGGAGTTATCAAAATACAATGTATAATTTTTAGAAATGTACATTGTATTTATGTTTGTTATGTTGCAGCCTATGTGCATGTATTTTGTGCCGCTATCTTGCTTTAGGCCTGGATCACACCAATGCGTTTTTTTTAGTGCTTTTTGCAGAAACGCACTACAGTCCATTTAACATGGTTTCCTATAGGACACTTCATATCTATGCTTTTTTGAGCTGCTGCGTTTTTGGAAAGGGTCAGGGACTTTTTTAAACGCAAAATGTTGCATTATTGGTTCAATAGAGATGCTGCAGAAAATGCATGTAGTGCTTTTTGTATGCATTTTTCACGAGTTTTGCATTTTGCATTTTTAATCTGCCCAGCAACAAGTTGTCCCAAAAAAAAAAAGAAAAAAAGCAAAAGGCATTAAAAAAACGTATCAAAGATATGCAAAAACACAAAAACGCATGCAAAACAGACAAAATGCAAACTGCATTGGTGTGAACCAGGCCTTAGTGGAGTTATATCTATGTTATAAAATGGAATTTAGAATACTAGTGTAAATAATTGGTAATAATTACATAAAGGATATTTCAGCTTATATAACATTGTCCTACTGTGTCCTTCTCATATATCGCTCCCACTGCTCCCATTTCCTTGGCCCTCTAATCTACAAAGATTAAAATCCAAAGATAGCAGAGGGCTCTTAAATTGTAAGGGGGAAGAGACAGGAAACAGAAAGAGAGCTTAGGGTATATTTTTACTATACAGATCTTATGATTTATTATTGCAATGTTTACCTTAAAGAGGAACTTTAGTCACGCATATAATTTTTTTGGCTCACATACCTGTTATGCAGTGTTTTCTGGGATTCATATACTCGTCTATCCATCAGATCCAGTATTTTCCTGCTCTGATCTGCTGATCAGGTGCAGCACTCCATGTCCCAGGGCCATCAACATGGTCCTCCTCATTCATTGGAAGATGGCTACCTCTTCCAGGTTCAGGCAGCCGGCCTCTAATGATGTCTTCAGCCCTGCCTACTGGCAACTGTGGCTCCTTACTTCTGCAACATAATGGGATACGTGATGTAGAATCCCAGGAGGCTGAGGAAGCAAGGCCACATCATTCTCTTCTAGGCGAGAATGGAGGCAGGTGGGTGGTATTCCAATGTAGCGGGGTGGGGACTGCGCCAGACACCGACCGGCGGGAGAGCATTATGATGACACATCATAGCCATGCCCTATGTGTTTCATCAGAAATTACTTCATCGTGGGGACATGCCTGTTATTTTGCTGGTTTTATATATTGCTGTATCATAATTTTAAGATCTTTTTACATATATCACAATGGATATAGAAAGGATATAGAAAGAAATAGGAAGGGACTGCTATCAACAAAACCCAAAATAAATACAGTATTTTTGATAGCCATTATTTTACCCAGCCAGGCTATTGGGAGGGTAGAGCACTTGCCATTAAGTTTGATAGATGAACTAGGTTTGGAGGATAATTGACTTTATATAGTGATTTTGGGTGGCTACTGAGGTGCACCCCTAGGTATTCTAGAGAGTGGGGAGTCCATTGGAAAGGGAAAGGACTTCTGTAATAGCTGACATGTGTTGGCCGATAGAGTAATATTCGGGATCCTGGACTTGTTCCAGTTATCTTGCAGGCCAGAGATGTGAACAAACAAATCCAACAGAGCGAGGAGGTTTGGTATGGAAATTAGAGGCAACATAACAAACAGTAAAACATCATCTGCAAACATGCAGAGTTTATAGGTAGTGGTCATGATTTCAATTCCTCGAACATTTGGGAAGTTGTGAATTAATTGTGCCAAAGGTTCAATAGCTAATGTGATTAGGAGGGGGCACTCCTCTGCCTTGCCCCCCTCATTATGGGGAAGCTCAGAGATCTGTAATCATTTGTAATGCTTGTTACTACTCATAGATTTAATAGCACAGATCACCTCCTCTGCTGAAATGGGGCGGTTGAGGCGAGCTTGTTGAGTATTCAAGACTGGAGGTAATTGGACATTCATAAGAACTGTTGGTGCTTGTAGTTCTAAAAAAAAGTATTGGAAGAGGCATACAGTGCTGTTAACACCTTAATAGGATTACTTGTATGGGTCACGTTTGACCCATTGGATGTATTGACCTATGGCCTACGCAATCTTAAGGCCAACAAGGAGTCTGGCTTATTAGCTTTCATATAGAACATGTGGCGGGAGTGAGAAATCACTTTCTCGGCTGATTCGGCTAACAATAGATCCAATTCTGTGCACGCTTTCTCATACAGTCGCCGGGTTAGATTGGAAACCCATGTAGTAAATATGGGAGGTGCATTTCCAGTTCATGTAGGCAATTACATTTCTCATGTTTGAGATGTGTAACTACACTAATGTATACTGCATGTCCATCGAAAACCACTCTACCTGCAGGGTGACAACACATTTAAGCATTGTTACCATGTTACAGGTGGAGCACAACTACTGGTTTTACTGGCAGAATCAGCAGCTAATAAAACTCAGGGGTGACTCAGAAAAACAAAAACACCTTTGTTATGCTAGCGATATATTTCACAGTATACAGTATGCCATTTTTATTCTGCTCATGAGTTACACTTTAGGAAATAAAACATCATTAAGGACTCACATCATGCATGCAGAAAAACTGATTGAAACTGACACGCAGATTTCACTTGCAGAGACATCAGTTTACATCAGTTTTCATGCGTGCTTCAATGAGTTTAATACATGTTGGAGATTCAAGCGCAGAAAAAATCTGTACCTGATACCAGTGTTGTGGTGTGAACAGGACATAAAGAGAACAATCGATTTTCGTGTGCCCTTGCAGAACACATGCTGAAAAACTGACGTCTCTGCGCCATAGTGTGAACGAGCCCCAAGAAGTAAAAAACTGATTTGGTCCTGAAGTGGTTATGAAAAGCATTACAAAAACAACTGACATCTACCCACTAAAAATACTTGTCACTTTCCTGTAATATATTCCATTCAGCACAAACCCACCTGCTAACACCACAACAGTTTCTATTTCCTGTGTGTACATTACTGCACATCATTCTGGTCTGGGAAATCATCTAGTGTGAGAATTTTTTCTTCTTCATAAACCAACTCAACCTTTCCATGGCAGTTTATAGATATCTGCAGCTTATATGTCTTATAAACCCATGCCAGATAATCATTGACACATAAAGCAGCTGAATGTTTTATCAACATGTTTTAAGACTACAAACTTTAATGACCAATCTGCATAGTTGATTTTTTTTGTCACATGAGCAAGGCAGCTGTACTGTATGAAATCTTCTCTGATAATCTTCTCAGTTATTCATGGCTAATAACTTTTATGAGCAGTTATATAATCACCTAAAGTAAATCTGTGCAGATACATACACTATATTGCCAAAAGTATTGGGACGCCTGCCTTTACATGCACATAAACTTTAATGGCATTCCAGTCATAATCCGTAGGGTTCAATATTGAGTTGGCCCACCCTTTGCAGTGATAACAGCTTCAACTCTTCTGGGAAGGCTGTCCACAAGGTTTAGGAGTGTGTCTATGGGAATGTTTGACAATTCTTCCAGAAGGGCATTTGTGAGGTCAGGCACTGATGTCGGACGAGAAGGCCTGGCTCGCAGTCTCCGCTCTAATTCATAATTCATCCCATAGGTGTTCTTTTGGGCTGAGGTCAGGACTCTGTGCAGGCCAGTCAAGTTCCTCCAAACTCATTTATTCATGTCTTTATGGGCCTTGCTTTGTGCACTGGTGCGCAGTCATGTTGGAAAAAAAAGGGGCCATCCTCAAACTGTTGCCACAAAGTTGGGACCATAAAATGGTCCAAAATGTCTTGGTATGCTGACACCTTAGGAGTTCACTGGAACTAAGGGGCCAAGCCCAACACCTGAAAAACAACCCCGTATCATAATCCCCCCTCCATCAAACTTTATACTTGGCACATTGCAGTCAGCCAAGTACCGCTCTCCTGGCAAACGCCAAACCCAGACACATCCATCGGATTGCCAGACAGAGAAGCGTGATTTGTCACTCCAGACAACACGTCTACTTTAATCCAAAGTCCAGTGGCAGCGTGCTTTACGCCACTGCTTCTGATGCTTTTCATTGAACTTGGTGATGTAAAGCTTGGATGCAGCTTCTCGGCCATGGAAACCCATTCCATGAAGTTTTCTACGCACTGTTGTTGTGCTAATCTGAAGGCCACATGAAGTTTGGAGGTCTTTAGCTATTGACTCTGCAGACAGTTGGCGACTTCTGTGCACTGTGTGCTTCAGCATGCACTGACCCCTCTCTGTCATTTTACGTGGCCTACCACTTTGTGGCTGAGTTGTTGTTGTTCCCAGTTATTTCCACTTTGTTATAATTCCTCTAACAGTTGACTATGGAATATTTAATAGCAAGGAAATTTCATGGATGGACTTATTGCACAGGTGGCAGCCTATCAGGGTACCTTTCACTGAGCTCCTGAGAGTGACCCATTCTTTCACAAATGTTTGTAGAAGCAGTCTGCATGCCTATGTGCTTGATTTTATACACCTGTGGCCATGGAGGTGATTGGAACACCTGAATCGAATGATTTGGAAGGGTGTCCCAATACGTTTGGCAATATAGTGTATATGAGTGCTGTCATTGCAGGCTTGTTTTTAACTACTTGCCAACCGCAGATAGCCGAATGATGGCTACACTGCAGCCGGCCAGTTCTGGGAGGGCGTCATATGACGTCCTCCCAGACCGCGCTCTCCTGCATGCCCCCAGGGGCGCGCACCCTGCGATCTCCGTGATCGTTATGTCCTACGGACATAGCTGATCACGTGATGTTGTAAAAGGCTAATCACAGCGGCCTTTTACCATGTGATCAGCCGTGTCCAATGACACGCTGATCGCCGGGAAATGCAATTGCTGGTTCTCGGCTGCACTTTCCTCAGTACTGCCAAGAACCGGCAGTTGTCAGAGCAGGGATCGGCACCGATCATAGGGCACTGATGATCAGTGCCCTGATGATCGCTGCCCAGCAGTGCCACCCACCAGTTCCGCCCACCTGTGCCCAGCAGTGCACCCTCCTGTGCCCAGCAGTGCACCCACCTGTGCCAACTAGCAGTGCCACCTACCTGTGCCCAGCAGTGCCACCCACCTGTGCCCACCAGTGCCATCCACCTGTGCCCACCAGTGCCACACACCAGTGCCCATCAGTGCAGCCCAGCAGTGCTGCCAGTCAGTGCCACCAGTCAGTGCCCAGCGGTTGTGCCAGTCAGTGCTCAGCAGTTGCGCCAGTCAATGCCTAGCAGTGCCGCCAGTCAGTGCCCAGCAGTGATGCCAGTCAGTGCCACCTATCAGTGCTGTGTATCAGTGCCGCCTATCCGTGACACCTCATTAGTGCTGCCTATCAGTGCCGCCTATCCATGCCACCTCATTAGTGCTGCCTATCAGTGCCCATCAGTGCTGCCTATCAGTGCCGCCTATTAGTGCCCATCAGTGTAGCCTCATCAACGCACATCAGTGTAGCCTCATCAACGCACATCAGTGAAGGAGAAAAATTACCTGTTTGAAAATTTTTATAATAGAAACAAAGAAACTTTTTTTTTTGCAATTTTTTTGTTTATAGCGCAAATAGTAAAGTGCCCAATGGCGATTAAATACCACCAAAAGAAAGCTCTATTTGTGAGAAAAAAATGATAAAAATTTCATATGGGTACAATCTTGCATAACTGCGCAATTGTCAATCAAAGTGCGACAGCGCTGAAAGCTTAAAATTGGCCTGGTAAAGAAGGGGGTCTAAGTGCTCGGTAGGCAAGTGGTTAAAGCAAAGCTTGTACTAACAAAAAATAGATAATAAATGCAATATGGTTCTAAAGGCTAAATCTTTTTTACCTTAACCACTCTCACTGCATCCTCCCACTCTAACCACGCCCCCCGGGACACAGTGGATCACCGATCAGTGGAAAGAGCCAATGACGTTGGCTTTGTCATGTGATCAGCTGTGTCCGATCACAGCTGATCGCATGTAAAAAAGGAAATGCCGGTATCGGCATTCCTCTCCTCAGGAGCTGTCATGCTGACAGCTTGTGAGGAGAGGAAAGCTGGTAATCGGCATTCCTCAGAGGGGACATCTACACTGATCATCAGGGCAATGATGATCAGTGCCCTCATGATCAGTGTAGCCCCATTAGTGCTACCTGTCAGTGTCCATCAATGGCACCTGTCACTGCCCATCAGCGCACATCAATGCCACATATCAGTGCCTAGCCTAGCATTCCTTTCAGTGCCACCTATCAGTACCAGTCAGTGCCGTCTATGAGTGCTGCCAAACAGTGTCACCTATCAGTGCCAGTCAGTGCCGCCTATCAGTGCCATATATAAGTACTGCCTTTCAGTGCCCATCAGTGATGTCTGTCAATGCCCATCAGTGCCACCTACCAGTGCCTCCTCATCAGTGCCGCCTATCAGTGCCCATCACTGCAGCCTCATTAGTGCACATCATTGAAGGAGAAAAATTACTCATTTACAAAATTTTATAACAGAAACTAAGAAAAAAACCTTTTTTTTCAAAATTTTTAGTTGTTTTTGGTTTGTTTAGAGGAAACAAAACAGTGGCAATTAAATACCACCAAACGAAAGCTCTATCTGTCTCAAAAAAATTATAAAAATTTCATATGAGTACAGTGTTGCATGACCGCGCAATTGTCAAAGTGCGATAGCACTTAAAGCTGAAAGCTGAAAAAATTGGCCTGGGCAGGAAGGGGGTGAAAATTGGCCTGGGCAGGAAGTGCCCAGTAGGCAAGTGCTTAAACAAGCTGGAATTAGAAGCTAATTGGCTACCATGAACAGCTGCACCAGATTTTGCACTCTCAAGTTTTGGTAAATAACCCCCATTGTCACTTAAAGTGGAACATCACTCTCTCTATTAACACTGACTATTATTAATCCTTATACTGCTAGCATTAGTAAATAGATGTGATAAACTTTCCTATTTACTCATTTTAAATGTATTTTTAAATTTTTTGAGTAACTTCCTGATTGCAGGCCTAGGCAAATTATGTCATACATCCCAGGAGTCTTCAAGAGGAGAGGAGGGACTTTCTCAGCTAAGCACAACCTTCTGCCTGCATGCCTGAACTAAGGGCAGATGGATTCTAGGAACTAAATGTGTACTTGAATCTTCTGCCTTTACTCAAGATGGCCACAGTCAGAAATGCTAGTAGGTGTTTTCAAAGTGATTGCTCACCATAAAAAAGCATGGAGACATGAAAGGATGAGTAAGTTTGCTTTGACTATTAAAAATTAATTAAATAGCGTGTTTCGTTTGTGGTGCTCAGATGCAGTATAGTTTTGCTTTAAGGGGCTAAACTATAATTTTGATTTGCATTTATTTTTGTAATATGTATTTACTATTTTATTTTTCCTGTTACAGGATTTCATGTTGGAGTAGAATAACTATGCTGATCCTGCTTTGTGATCAGTTGTATATTGTTAGCAGATTTAAATACCAACAATGTGAACAAATGGTTATTATATTTCAATGTACGTCATTTGCAGATTACCTCTTTTTAACTACTTGTCATCCAGAGGATTCACCTCCCTTCCTGAACAGGCCATTTTTTTGCGATACGGCGCTGCGTTTTTTTAACTGACAATTGTGCAGTCATGCAACACTGTATATAAATGATAATCTCTGCATTTTTTTTTTTGCGCTATAAACAAAAAAAAATCGTCAATTTTGAAAAAAACAACCAATATTTTTAAATTTTTGCTATAAAAACATATCCAATAAAAAAAATTTCAAAAATAAAGTGTCTTCATAAATTTAGGCCAAAATATATTCTGCTACATGTCTTTGCTACAAATAAATACCAATACGTGTAAATTAATTGGTTTACGTGAAAGTTATAGTGTCTACAAATGGTGGTATATATACTTGAAATTAATTTTTTTTATAGTAGTAATAGCAGCAATCAGCAACATATTGCTGGACTGTGGAACTGAGGGGGGAATGGGTGGGAACTGACTAAATGCCATTGACATCCCTAGTGACACTAATACAGTGATCAGTGCTGATAAAAGCACTGCCACTGTACTAATGAAGCTGGGCAGGAAGGGGTTAACATCTGGGGCCATCAAAGGGTTAACTGTGTGTTGTGTTGTGCTTACACAGTGTACTGTTTTACTAGGGAGACATGCTGCTTTCTCTCTGCTGTGCAGAGAGAGAAAAAGCAGCATGCCAATGCTAACAGGAGAGATACCTGTTTTGTTAACACACAGATCTCTCCCCTCTCGGCTTTAGCGGCGATCACCGAATGCTGGCCGAGAATCGCTAGCTGGGATCGGTGATTGACATCTGCTGCAATCAATAGCAGCATGGGTAGGGTGGCTTGCATGCCCGCCCCCCCCCCCCCCCCCACCAGGAACTGCAAAATCACGTACAGTATATATATTTGTGATTTTGCGCAGAGCGGCCGCCCTGTAGCAGTAAAACTTCTGTAGGGTTATAGACAAGTGGAGTATATCTTATGTCAGTATTTAGCTTGAGAAACGGCAGAGATGATTGAAATGTCACTGCTGTGATATACGCATACTGTATGAGCAATAAATATAGCTGTGTTTTGTGCTGCGCCCTTCTCAATTATATATACAGTGTATATATATATATAGTCAGAAAATGTCTGAAGTGAAACTAACACTTCTGGTAGTGTCGATCTGCTTTGGCACTTGGTGTTCTTAATGGTTCCTCCCACTGAGGTTGGCTAGAAAAAACACTGAGCGCAGGAAGGGGAACCCCAGACTGACACACTCCAAAGCGTCATTTTTGGGGAATATGGTAAATAACTGCAAGCTAAATAATTTAGGGTGCCTGCTATATGCATCTTTTTTTTTTCAGTATCATTTTAAAGCAGACCCCCCTTCCCCACTACACTGCCACCACCAATAAAATGTGTTTAAAGAAATAAACTGACTTGCTTATTGTGATGAGCTTCTTCTTTATTTGTTTTTCACTTGGCCACTGGTCCAACCAATCCACTCCCTTTAAAAAAAAAAAAAAAAAAAAAAAATTAAAAAGATGTGATTGGAATGTTGAGGAGCTAACAAAACTCAGTTCAGATCAGGCCCATGCTGCAAAAGATCTTTGTAAAGGAAGAGCTACATGCCCCACCCCCTGTACAAATGTCTTTACTAGAGAATGCAAATAAAAAAAGGATAGCTAATAGTACTTAGAGCCACCCTGATTGAAGAAACTCTAAGATATGCTTCAATGCATATTTTCTAGGTTGCATGTCCTTTTCTTCACACAACATAAAATTTGCTTTTCATAAGCAATTGTAAATGCTGTGTGAGAAGATGGCTTCCTAACCTCTAGAACAGTCAGTATGATGAAGTCTGAATGTACCCTTTCTCTTAAGACCTTGGTCTCAACAGTCAAGTGGTCAAAGCCAGTGACTGTAAAGCAGGAAATAATTCTGTGAACATACCTGTGAAGGTAGGTCTGGTCAATGGAATGTGGCCAAAGGATCACATTCTACTCAGCCAGTTAGGAGAAACCAGAATTACTGGTTTCTCCTAACTGGCCAAGTTAGGATGATTGCCTTTATCCTGCTCAATAAACACAGCAGTAATCTGTTAGGAAAGGCATATATCAGACCAAACTGATCTAACACGGTTACTAGCATATCCATCGTGAAGACCCTTCAATCTATTGTTCTGGCTACAAATCTGTTCATTTTGTTGTTGAACCTGGAAACAAGCACGTTCATACATTCAAAGATCCCCACTTGAGCTTAGAACAAAGCTATAATCGAGCTGTGAGCCAGAGAAATCTGTCACAGATCCTGAATTAGTCTGAGTGTTCTGGGGAAAGATTTGGTCCTGCATAGCATCCTGAAAGTAACTTTACATTATATGATGTACCTTGTACCAGGGTGACAGCCTAAAATAGAATCCACAGCTTAGGCAGCAAATTATGGGCAGATCCTTTCAACAATCCCCCTACAGGGCCCAGCTATTGTTCCTCCAAGAGATTCCGTTAGGAAGTAATCTTGCCTAAAAGTATAGATCTGTGTATTAAAACAAATATACAACATACTTTTAGTATAGGAAAACAAGTCCATCACCTAAGAACTCCAACAATATAACTGAGAGCCTGCTGGACTGGTCGGGTTATATATCTGGGATAAGGCCAGCTGCCTTTTCACTTTGAGTGTCAGTGACTATTCAAGGTGGTGATATACAGTTGTGTTCAAAGTAATAGCAGTCAGACATCACTAACCTGATCAATCACTGTTTTTGATAGAAATGATATTTCTACATGGCAATAATTTACTAGCAGGTGTAGTAGAGTAATAGAAATCCAACAGACCCAACAGTCATGACATGCATGCTGCTGATTCTGTGTAATTGAATCACTCATTGAAAGGGGCATGTTCAAAATAATAGCAGTGTGGAGTTCTATT